TTTAGTATGAATTATATATTCCTCTTTTCACATACTCTCTGCTTCCTTCAATTTAAACTTTTTATTTTAGTACGATTATTTTATTGCAGACTGCACTAGCTATGTCTATCGTGACTGTCCTCCTGGTTTTGTTCCACATGGACATTACTGTTACAACATAGGAAAGCAAACTTTAAACAAACAACAAGCTGAGGTATGCTGGTATCGAGATTGTAAATTATTTTACCTCATTTTTGAAAGTACACAATTGTTTTTATTATTTTTCAAATTGCAAGCCTTCAACTATTTGACCGGTCAATAGTTTCAAACTATTTACCCTCGATGAAACTATTTTACCGCAAGCGTCATTATATTTCGCGGAATTTCAACTGCAGTTACGGAAATGGCTAACGGGTTTTTAACAATTCATTCGGGACTATCGGAATTCATCTCAATTATTCACGTCAATTCCCGAGTCGTTCGAACACACACCAAGTCGCATCAGACGACAGGCTCATATTTCAGTCAGGGCAATTAATTTGCGTCGCTTTCCGATGGAGATCTGGAAGGATTAACTAAGGACAAGGATGTCAAAAACACAAAATCAGTCGTCCGAACTGCTGAATAGATTATTTCCGACTAGCTTAAAGAAAAAGACGGCGATCTAAAAAAAAAGTGCCTTAGAGGAGTTAGACGAGGTGGAACCAACTGTTCTTACTTCCTTACTCAGGAAGTTCTATGGAGAAATTCGAAAGTCAGGCGGGAAAAAATTAAGCTTTAAACTTACAATAGCCTGCTTGTTATTGGAATGCATATTTACAATCGGATAACTGTCACCACTATGTGTCCGTTGTCTCTTACAAATGTAAACATGAATTTTAGTCAGATGTGTCGTTCAGTCAGTGCGTTCAGTCCTTGGCATAAATGTGTGTCTGTTGTCTCTTTCGGTATAATAAAACACTTACTGACTGGATATTCGTGGAATAGTAAGTTAATTGTCCCTTCGGATACAACTATTGCCCTCATCTACGCCTCTGGACAATAGTTGCACCTCGGGGGACAATTAACTTACTATTCCACTCATACCCAGTCAATAAGTATAAACTATCATATCAATGATTTGATTTCCTGAATATAATATCAGATGATTTTTTTTCCTGCTGTATCTTGTGATTAAGTTTAAATTTTAAACCTGGTTTGTCTTTATTTTAATATTTCGATATTTTTAAACAATGAAACAAATTGTTAATGTCACAATCGGCCATCACACTGACCTTAAATATTAAAGTGGTGTAAAAGAAGCACAAATATTTTTGAGTATAAATTATCCGTGACCCTAATGATTATTGGTTATACTGCCTTTTTCCTTGTAACTATCGCTGTAGTGACATTATGTTGCGTTATCCTTTTAATAACCAGTATCTCTTATTTTAGGATTATTGCAATCAGAGATGCGCTAGTTTAGTAAAATTCTCGGATAAAACAGAGATCTTAGAAGTATTCTCATATTTCCAACACATAAATCATGGTGAGTGTGTTTTGTTTCATTATTTTACACTATAAGCAGGCCTAGGTATTGTTCTACTAGAATAGAAAAGCGTAAAGTTAAACTTTATGAATAGTATAAAACAGAAGAATAACAGACGTGATATTAAATTCAATAAAGGCAAAAGCAGGGCTTGTAGTAATAATTCGGACATTCAAAACGATCACAAAATTCATCTGAAAAAGATCATATTTGGATTTAATATGGCACTGATTTATTTAAGTTACCGAACAGTAAATTAAGTACTTCCGTCAAACCTTATTCTATCTGCATATGTATAGATACAGTTTAGGAAAGAGGATTTCTGTCTAGTTGTCTTTTTTCCTCCTATGTGCGAGTTATTATCATATTTTATAAATAAGGTCCAATTTATCACAACATTCATCTGCAAACCTACAATTGTTATAAAACTAATGTTCTATGAATTACTATTTATAGAGGTCTACACATCGCTTACTAGAGATATAAAGCACCAGTATTGGTACTGGGAGAGTGACGATACTCTAGTTTCCAAACAACTGTTAGAGAATGATTTCCAGTTAACACAGGATTCGTGTGCTGTTGCCTACATAACGTTTTCTGTTGGGATACATTCACATTCAGTCTATACCTATGGACTAAGTCCAGTATCGTGTACACATAATGCAGTCTCAATGTGTTATATACGGAGGTCCACATGATGTGCTTTGCAATTTTACCAATTCACTAGCAAGCGTGCCAACATTGCAATTGTGCTAAAATTGCGATTGTGTTATAATGTTTATCAAAATGTTATTAAACCTACAAACCTACATCGACTCCGAGGTCTTCAGTTTATTTGTTATGTTGAATTTGAGCATAATGAACCAACGAATGTTGTGTACTGATATGACAAACGTGGGGGGCGGGGGGGGGGGGAGATGAGGGGGCAAGGTAGATTACCACATGACCTCATAAAGAATAACCAATACCCGAAAAATTCCAACTTAACGATAATCAAAACACAAGTTCTTAAAACTAAAAGATCCACAAGTATGTGTGCACCTGTGGTTTCCAAATCGCCCTTTTTTAGCTTTGCTGGAACAAGTTGAAAACCTTTATTTTGTAAAAATTTTAAAAAATGTTACCTTAGATTTTTTAGTAATTTTTAGATAAACACCTGTAGGTAACTGAAAAAAAATATTAAAATTACTGCAAACAAAGACACAAAAAAGGTCAAAATACAGCAGTCTATTCAATAAGCCAAACTCTGCATACCCCAAGCAGACTGGATATAATCTACTTACACTTAAATGTAATAGACAATATTTGACATATTAAAATACTCGCCGAGAATTAAAAATTGCACAATGAAAATAAAAAATCATAAACGCACACTGAGATTTGATTAGCTTGATATTTCATTTCATTGTGTCACTGTCTTATTAAATCATATTGTAATAACCGTGTAGATCTCAGCAGCTCTGAAAAGGTAAGCAGATCGGTCCTGGTAATTACAAATGCGGAGATAAGTCTCATTTGAAGATATCACACTCGAGGAAAAGTGGAAGGGATTCTGGTTACGACAATTGGAACATATCCGTGGTCACATGGTTCATGAATATTCCATAACGGTCAACCAACTCGTGATGGCGTCCGTAAAACTCTCGAAGGGATGACTTCAACTTTAACCATTAGAACCCTTGGCTCAATAGCTTACTTGTAAGCAGCAACCCTCTATAAAGAAAGGTAACTCAAGCTCCGGAATATCGAATCAACTCGGAAGTATGCATTTCATATGCAGGCAATGCTGGAATGTGGCTTCATAGAAATAAAAAGTTCACAACTTGGAATCTGAATCATTCCTGTTGTCGTAAAGTTTCGTTCTCAACCGATCATCATAGATATAAGTCAAGATATGAGGCAGACTTAACTGTATCTGTTTAATCCATTATTTAAGTGCGATGAAATAGATATAAGTTCAACATAGTCACCAACATTTAATTAGTAAGTGAGGGGACACCATTTATATAGCGGAACTTGAAGTTAAATGACAATTGTATTCTAAATTTCTATTGTATGTTTATATTTATGTTCAATCACTGAGCCCTTTATTTATATTTCCACATACTGTTAAATCATTCAATATGAGTATCAATTTGTAGACACAAATTGACATAAGCATATAGGCTTCTTCGTTCATGAAGGGTATGAAGATAGCTTATCTCATCTCAACGTAAGTTGGTGTTATTGGTGTGTACATAATTGATATAATAAAATTTTATACATTCATTTAATGTTATACAGGCGGACACCCATTTGAAATTAAACAAAAGAAATGGAACTCTTTGTTAGAGAAGGTATAAAAGAAAAATTGGTATATTTGAATTGTATACATCTGTTTTTATGGCCTTTAAAAGTTTAATAAAGGTGCATAATTTAGGATTGTGTGCATCTTATATGTTGTTTTTTTTACTTTGATTATAGTATGGAGCTTTGAGATAATTTTAAACTTTTGAATTATAGACAAATTTTCATAAAATAGTCGAATGTGACAGGTTCAAATCCAAGTAGATATTTTTGTGCATATGCATAAATTCTGCAGAAAAAAATTCCACATAATAGATTGATCTTTCTAAATCATTAATTTGCATCTCTGCCCCCGCCGACAGTTTTTTGGGGAAAAAATCCAAAAAATGGGCAATAATTGCAATGAAAAGAGAAAGTCGAGTGCAACTTTTTATGTTCGGGCGTGTTTGAGTTGACTATTCTGTCTTGGAAACGTATAAATCAAAATTATTTGATACATCTTCTCGCTTCAGATTCTATTATTTTTATATATTTAGGCTATAGGTTGATTTAATAACATTAAAAAATCAGAGTGCTAAAAAATGAAATATATGGGTCAAGTGAAATACCTTTCTGATGAGTCATAACAACAGAGTAGGTGTGTTCGACTAACAAATTATTACTAAAAGTACTTGACGTCAGACTTTCCAACTGGATCTTTAAAATGCATAACTTCAAAAACACTTCATTTTTTGTGTGTTTTATCTAAGGATGTCAACATCTGTGAAAATACTAAGTCTGCCCTTCCACGAAATATTTAATTAGAATTTTTTTAAATGTTTTTGAACTTTCGAAAATTCCACCTGACAACCGATCAGACAGTAGCTTTATGTTGACTGAATGCAGAAAAGTACATAAAATGATGCTCAATAGCTAGTAGATACATTTGTCTTTTAAAATACAACTGGCATATATCCTTAAAGGATCTTAATGGTACTATGTAGATAAATTTATCGGTTTTCAAGAGCTAAATTGGCACCGCGTCATCCCTACAATGTCTTTCATTTTTACAATTGTAAATATTTACTGGCGTAATGGGGAGATAATTTTGACGAAGTAGAATCCTGACTGTTATTTTTATACATTGTTATATGTGTAGCACAAAAAAGTCTGCAATAATGAGAAAAAATCGATGCGTAAATCAAAACACTATAAACAGTCATGTGATCAGCATAATCACTAAGTTATATAGTATGTTGTAACTAGTGCATCAGGTGTATTTACATGTGTATATTAACCATGTTAACATAGTTGTAGAGGCGTGTCAAAATACATCTTAATTATCTATTTATATACTTGATTAAGGTAAGTTTGTATATATATATTTAGATCTAATCCATCGTTGAAAACAAAATTAGCTTCTCAAAATGTCTTGAAAATGCTCCTTGATTTCTTTCCTTTTTCTGTTGGTGTTGTGTGTCTACTGCTTAAGGTTTTTGTCTCTTTACTATTTTGTTAGCGAAATGAACGAACTGAGCCCATGCATAACAATCACGTTACAGTAAACCTCAATTGTGTAGGAATGATTAAAACATAAATATCCAGTAAATATTGCATGTAATAAATAGAAAAGTTTATAAGGAAGGTTAAATAAGGAGATGTAGTATGAGTATGAGTCAACTATAAAGTGTTTTTTTATATTTTTTTTCTTTGCTTCTTTATATGGATCATGTTAAATAAAATGTCACCTACGGCCCCTTCAAAAAGGATTGATTGATTGATTGATTGATTGATTGATTGATTGATTGATCGATTGATTGAATGATGACCATAGGATTGGAAAGTACTAGAAACCAGACGAATAAAAACACTGAAATATAAATAATCGAATGTGATGCGAGATTTCGCCTCTCGAAACAGTTAAATTTTTGAAATTTGAAACGCAAGGCTTGCCGAGGATTTTAAATATTTAAAATTTGATTGAGGTTACACAACCAACAACATAGAAAATTAAAACAAAATCAAGAAGACTCCGGCTAAAAACAAAGGTAAAAATATAGGTATTTAAGTGGCACCCATCGGGTCGCTCATTGCAAGAGATAATGCGATGATAAGTTGTAGATAAACGAGAAATGAAAGACAGGAACATTGCCGCAACAAAGGACATCATACTGATTATATATATATATATAGATATAAATAATGCTCCAGATGAGATGAAAGGATGAACATAACGAAATAAAGAAAATCTACACAACAAAGAAATAATGTTACTGTGCTATTCACAGCTAGACTCAAGCTAGCAGCCACTCGCTAGCAGCCACTCCGCTAGCAGCCAGTTTTCAGATATGTCTATAAACCCAAAAGTTGCATAAGACTCAAACGTTTTTTTATACTATATATAACGTTTTTTAATTTAACAATCGAAGACACCATGCATGCGTTTAAGGGGTGGATCCAGGATTTTTGAAGGGGAAAAAGGGGGGGGGGGGGGCTAATTGCCGAAAACATATACGTATATCGCTGATAGGAGGATTGCAAAAAAATGTTGAACGATTTTATATGCCGAAAAAAAGAAGATATTTTTCCGTTTAAAGGGGAGGGTGTCGTACACCCACCACGCTTTATCTGAATCCTCCACTGAATTTTACATTTTCATTTTTTGTTCAAGAATTAAAAGACATTTGTATATTTTATTTGGACACCGCGCTGCACGTTGATAGGGTGAGAAATAAATTTAAAAAAAATATAGAACACTACAAGAGTGGAGAAATAAGGAATTTCTTTTTTAAAACACAATGTGAAGCAGCATTTTTCTTTAACAATTTAACCCTAAAAAGCACGGAAATGTGAAATAAAGTTTTTGATTTACCTCCCTTTAAAAATTATTACTTTAGAATAATTGAAATATTAAGTCTTCTTTGATGCGTAAAACAACAAATACTTGTATCATAAGGTGTCAAGCATTTATCTATTTACAATTAATGATCATGTAACAAACAATTGCAGAAATTATATATAATTAAGCTATTTTCAGTTTCATTTTATGCCCATTTCATGAGATTCATTATGATTATTCATGAACTTCGAACAACAATGGTGGGGAGGGGTACGGGGTAGCCGACTGTGCGACGGCTGTATAGCTTGTGAAGGCCGTTAAAAACTCTTCAATGTTGCACGGTAATAAATTTTTACAAAGATAAAGATTAAAATACAATAACAGCAAACCAAGAATAGCTGAGATATTGAATACAGATGTTACAGAAAAAATATAAATATATCCCATTAAGCTTTAACATTGACAAATATGATGAAAAAAAAGGAAGGGACTACTATACTAGTCAACAAAAGAAACGATACAAGGCAATGTATTTTCCATATATCATCAAATTAAATACACTGTACCAAAGTAAATAACTGCCCTATTCGTCTAATTTTTACAGAGTGTTATTTTTCTCATCAAAACCAAAGCAAAAACGCGAAAAAAAATTTCTAAAATTTTTGTTATTATTTAAAAAATCGTATTTTCACCCAAAAATTCAAAAATCGGTGTTAGAACTTTAAACTTTTAAACTTAAACATGGTCTGCTTAAAATTTGAATGCCTTTGCAGATATTTGAATACTTAATTATCATCTTCGAAATTAAGTGCCGATTTTTCTGCAAAATAAATTTGACCCCTGTGTTCAATAACTCGGTATTTTGTATCTTTTTAATTTGGTCATATTCTTTTAATCATATGCATTTGCTTTGTAAATGAATGTTTTTCATAGGATAATTTAAAAGATTTTCCTATTTATTATATTTTATGATAAATTTTAGTTCAAACTTGTGTATCGTTTCTTTTGTTGACTAGTATATTTATTTTTAATTCGGTTGGGGGGATTTTAACTAGTTAGAACTGATAATAAGTAATGAAATGAATAAGCTAACCAAGACGAAGTGGTAACTGAACATAACCTATCATGTCGAAAACAGGATGAAATGAATATTCTACCCAAAATAAAGAATTGTTATGAACGAAATCGAAAGTAAATTTTCGACGGCTTTGCCGGCCCCCAAAAATGAGCCTGCATAGAAACCGGTAAACATGAATGACTATTGTGAAGCTAACCGGCGATAACAGTCGGCCGCTTACTATTCACTAGGGCAACCTGCAATAATATTCATGAGATGACCTGGGTTCGATGAAGTGTTGTAAGAAAATATCAATTATAAGGATAAAATAATGTTTGCTGATTATATTTGATATTGCTACAAATAACAATCAATTCTTAACTCAACGGGTGTCTTCTTCGAGGTATGCGTTTACTTAATCAATTATAAAAAGGGAACGCTTACGTAAACCGATAGTTTACAAATATTTTTCGGTAAATTATAAAAAATGCCAATTGAAACATCAATGAATAGCCTTTTATATTTAAATATTAAGCTGAACCAAAAATACAATCTACAGATGCTTCTTATTAAAGACACATTCCATACAAGATTACAAAATGGTTCTTATTAATTCTCTTACATGCCGACGTGATTTTTTACTGGTTTTAAATCACTTTCAGAATTATACAGTTCTCATATTATATACAATTGTTTTCAACCATATTTAACAGTTCAGACTAAAGATAAAACCAATTACCCCACCCTATGCTGACAAAGTCGTACGGGTTTAGGGCATATGTACCATGAGACAGTTAGCGGTAACATCTGGTACCATGACCAACGTGAATAATCTATAGGTTTATACAACCGGCAATAGTTCAGTTGGACAATGTGCATCAGAATATCAGGACCCCCCCCCCCCCCCTCCCCCAAAAAAAAAACAGAACAAAAAAAAAACAAAACAAAACAAAACAAACCTGTTGACAAACTCGTACGGGTCTAGGCATAAATAATAATGGCCATTTTAGAGACATCTTCTTTTACTTCTTGTATCATGGCCAACGTGACGACTCTCTTAGTTTGACCAAACGGCATTAATTAAGTCGGACTATGTGACATACAAGGAAAGCAGGACCCACACAAGCTGAAAATCTCGTACGGGTCAAGACATAAACGCTATGGGCCATTTTAGAGGCAATGTCTTCTTCTACCTCTTGTATTATGGCCAACGTGACGTATCTCTTAGATTGGCCAGCCGGCAATACTTAAGTCGAACTACGTGACATACTAGGATACCAGGACCCCGACAAGCTGAAAATCTCGTACGGGTCTAGACATAAACATTATGGGCCATTTTAGAGGCAATATCTTCTTCCACCTCTTGTATTTTGGCCAACGTGACGTATCTCTTAGTTTGGCCAGCCGGTAATACTTAAGTCGAACTACGTGACATACTAGGATACCAGGACCCCGACAAGCTGAAAATCTCGTACGGGTCTAGGCATAAGTCCTGTGGGTCATTTTAGAGGCATTGGTTTCTTTTACCGGTAGAATCATTGCCAACGTGATACATCTCTTAGTTTGATCAGCGGCAATCGTCGGACTATGTGACAAACCAGGTACCCCAACCCTATGATTTAAACTCGTACGGGTCTAGAGCAGCAGTGCTGTGAGCCATTATAGAGGCAATGTATACTTTTACTCCTGGTATCATGGTTAACGTTAATAATCTCTTAGTTTGGCTAGCTGGCAATAGTTAAGTCGGACAATGTGACATCAGAACATCAGGACACTCACCCTCTCCCGCCAAAAAAAAAAAAAAAAAAAAAACCCTGCTGACAAACTCGTACGGGTCTAGGCATAAATGCTTATGGCCATTTTAGTTGCAATGTCGTCATCTTCTACCTCTTGTATCATGGCCAACGTGACGACTCTTAGTTTTGCCAGCCGGCATTAGTACTAAGTCGGATTATATTTGTTGCATAGTGTGCTAGTGGCCTAATATGATATATATGGGGTCAGTGAATCCCCATATTGAATTTACTGACCCCATATATGTCAAAGTGATCAAGTCTTCAATATCGTTAGTATTAAGAACCTTCTTCCATTGGTCTATACAAAAGCAAATGCTAAAAATAACAACTTGTCAGCTTTAAATGTGTTTTATGAATTTATTTCAATCGTTCATCGTCAATTTTTTCGTCTGTTGAAACGTTTTAGATTTTACCTCAACACCGTGTTGTTTTTATAAAGGGACGTAACACCACTACTTATCGTGTATTGAAATAAGCTCCGCCTACTAACCCAATATGGAATATACACGGTCTCCATGCGGGTGCTTTTAACCAATCATATTCCTAGAAATGTATAGGAGGTAAGATAATGTCAGGATACAAGGATACCCGGACCCCCCCCCCCCCCTTTCCCCCTCACAAGCTGAAAATCTCGTACGGGTCTAGCCATAAACACTCTGGGCCATTTTAGACG